GTGGTATAGCGTAGTGTGGTGTAATGTGGTGCGATGTAGTGTGGTGTGGTGCGACGCTGTGTAGGTAGTACAGTGTTGTGCAGTGCAGTGTGGTGTGGTGTAATGGGTGTGGTGTGGTGTGGTGTGGTATTGTGTGGTGTAGTGTAGTGTGGTATAGCGAAGTACGGTGTGGAGCGATGCTGTGTAGGTAGAACAGTGTTGTGCAGTGCTGGTTTGTGTAGCGTAGTGTGGTGTGGTGTAGTGTTGCGGTGTGATGTAGTGTTTTGTGTTGTGCTGTAGTGTGGTGTGGTGATATGTGGTGTAGTGTTGTGTAATATGTAGTGAAGTGCAATAGAGCTGATCAAGATGAACAGCACAAACCTTCACAAATAAAGCTGTCATCCTTTCTGAGGTGTTATAGTATCGCGAGTAGCTGTTGATCATACGAATTGCATTGACAAGACCAGGGATTGCATCCATCATCCCGACCTAAAATGACAAAATTTTCATCAAAACAAGAAAGAAAGGAAACGAGATTCGGTAAAAACAAAAAGGTACAATCAATAATAATCCGTAATAATTATGAAGACTGTTTTGGAAGTGATAGTATTGATAATATTCATGATGGTGATAATGCCTTTTAAGAAAAATATGCGAATGTCCGTGTACTCACAGGGTCACTATTATACAAAGGRTCACAAAACTTTTCCAGTGTATACAAGAACTTGACGTTATCCTTGGCTTCGTTGGCATAGTCCGTAATTCTACTGTCCAGCTCTCTCCATGTCTACACATTCAAAAGACAACAATTAAATTCAAAATATCAGCAAGTATACCAGTGATAAGCTTACTTTTTACCCATCTCGATTTGAAACACCTCGTGCGAGTATTGTGGACGCATAGGAAATCATAACAGCTGAAAACTAAGCCTGTATGCAACTAGATATTTGGATTGACGAGCTTCCAGTTCATGCGCCTCTTTTCCTTTCTGCTCTTTTTTATCATGATTTACAATTTAAATTATAGTACCTATTCTATCTATTTACAAAGTGAGTTGCTATGTTACAAATAGATGGTCTATACGTGCAGGACTGCCATAGCTTCCACTGGATGTGCCTCGTTTCCTTTCTGCTCTTTCATTACTCTGAGGTCTTTCTGTCTTCCTAAATCTTTCCAAGGTAGACTGAGACCCACAAAGTCCTAAGTCTTTTTTCACTTTAGTTTTGACCACTACACTATAAGTTTCCATGCCGCAATTCCCTGTGTAATATTCATGCACATGTACTCTAGTCTTTTATTTTACCTTGAGAAGTTTTGACTTGGCAGCATGCAGYACACCAACTACTGCCTTACAATCTGAACCTTTGATTTGGTCAAGTAAAGAGTTAAACTTGGCCATTCTTTTCTTCCAGTGATCAAGTTCTGCTTTGGGGCCGACATCRTCTGCTTCTTTGCGCATTTGTTCACTTTCAGCTAAAACCTAGAARAATATTTCGACATAGTTAGAACTTCCTGTAGTACTTATTGATTGCTTGACATCATAAAGGTTCTAGGTTCTTAAAGAATGGTTGGAAAACGATCTCTGCATAAGAAAAACTACAATTTTAAAGCAATTCAAAAAGCATGTTTAAATTGTGAATTAGTCAATTGAAACCTCACTCTCAGCACCTGGGAAGGGCTGGGGAAGCAGCATGTCATAGCTGGGGAGTTAACACTGCTTTGAAATCATCAACCCACTGAGGAGGCAGCGGAATCAATTGTCTATATCAAAGGAAATTATCTAATAGTTCACCAATGTTGAAATGCTAATAATTCGCCCAGTATTATTCCAGATCTGTGGTCTCAATACTACTTTTGCAAAAATGGTCACATGGTACAAAATCCGCCATACTGGATGGCAAAATACCCAGTGGAATATTCAAAACAAAGAAAAGTCAAGCTTGATGGGCTGCGTTCCTTATGTTTTTGAGGTTGTTTACATTCTTTTGCAACCATTATAGCAGATTTAGTACCATGTGACCATTTCATTCAAAAGGCCTATTGACTAATGACTGGTAAAGTTAGCAATATGATAACTACATGCACGTATGCATGTCCATTGCAATACCTGTTCAATCTGTTTGATCCATGCCGTCACTACTTCTTCTATCTGTTCCAGTGTTTCTGTAGAACTGGCTGCTGCAATGAAGTCTGCTGGCGTCGCAATATGTGAGAGACTGATGTTCTCTGGTTCTTTCAATGACACTGCATCCTCTAAGCTTGCTTGAGCACTGGCAAGAATACCTTGAAACCCAACAACATAATATTAGCATAAAATCGGTGGGATAAAAAAGTTTGACGGGGAAGGGGGATTGGTAGTAACAGCATTGTGTTAAATTTTCTAATATCTGTATTCACAGTAAGGGTTCTATCATACCAACAAAAGAATCCAGTTGGTTCATAAACTCTTGTTTAACAGACAGTCCTTGGTTCTGTTCCAAGTTCGCCCATGTTGTGTTTCTACCCAGTGCAGGTACAAAGACATCTCCAAGAAGTCTCTCCACAGAATGAAGAATACCAACACCTCTAGTGTCCAGAACACCAAATGTTGCTTCCTGGAAAAGAACATAATGGTATMAAAAWGATCTCTRTTTCTTCACCATATAWGGACACATTTTCATTTAAAGATGAAACTGTGCCCTCTGGTGTCCAGAACACCRAATGTTGCTTCCTGGAAAAGAACATATGGTATCAAAATRATCTCTGTTTCACCATATAAGGKCACWTTTTCATTTCAAGATGAAACTGTGCTAAGGYGATTCTCCATCTTACAATACCTGAAATATGTTAGCAAAAGTGACTTGTTTTGAAGGATTGTTCCTGATAAAAAAGATGCAAGCYCCAGATAACATCTCATCCTTTCCATCAGTCAGAAATACTTTGTATTTTGATTTTATGACCGTCTTTTGAGCACCACTGGGACCAAGACGCACATGTTCAACTGTAAAAATATGATAACATTAACATATAACATTTCATGAAAACTGGACAGATTCAAACATTACAAAATCTTTTTTTCAAAATGATGTTATTGCCATCATATAGTTATATGATTGACCAATAAACATGGTGATATTGTGTTAAGAAGTACGCACACTAGTTATTACAATGAAACGTAAATGTAAATGCACAAATGATATTTAAACTTTTAAATATACAAAAAAATGCTTTATTAAATCTCATCATTTGAAGAGCAAATATTACAAGATTTGTTTCAAACTATAGTTTTCAATTATTCACTCTTGAAAATGGCATAAGAATATATTTAATAGTTTTAATAATAATTACAATATAAATGTACATAAATTATGAAATTTGCCGAATGGTATGAATAATTCATGAACTATACCTGCTTCTGGTACATTACTGTCACTCTCCTGGAAAAAGAACATGATTTTTTGAAGTCCTTCAGCCTTGAAGAAAGCATCCATTGTTTCAAGCTGAAAAAAAAAAAAAACGTAAACATTAATTCCTGTGAGCTGATAGGCAATGGGAGTATGATTACCATGGCTATGCATCATAGTATAGATCACAAAATCCATAACATACATGACAAGAAATGAAACCTTGGTTAGTACGAAAACAGTATTGAACTGAGAAAGCAATCATACCTACAAGAAAACATAGTCATAGAACAAGAGCAGATTAATAGTTTTTGCCCAACATCTGCTCTATAGGAAAAMTWTAYGGACAACCATATATACCTGTGAGCCTTCAAGCATTGCTTCAGTGACTTCTTCTGTAGGTATTGCCAATGCATCAGCTATTGTGGCAATTATGTATTCATGTCTGAAGTCCATTGTTGATCTCTTGGCTTCACGTTCTTCTCTTGCTTTTAGCTGTAATGCAATAACATAATATTTAAACTTACAAATTGCATTTGATCACTTTCTTGGGAGCATCTCAAAGCACATTTTGGTATCATAGATACCACTTCTGGATCCTACATGTTTGTGAACATGTTGATTAACAAAACTGCTGATTATTATTCATCAGTATCRGAGAATTTTCTTAAATAAAATTACACAGGATGGTACTCAAGTGCACAGTGGCATGTTTTTTTATTATTCTTTTTTTTATTATTTTTTATTTTATTATTATTATATTATTCTAAATTAAAATTTCAGAAAAATTGAAAGAAAATCATTGTTAAAATCCCTCAAAATGTCGGAAATAGCATTAATTGCAGAATAATTGAAAGGAAATCATACGTCAAAATCCCTAAAAATGTTGGTAATAGCATTTCTCAGGGTCTTAATTTTAACCCCTTTATTTAGACCCCTTTATTTTCACCCTCCTGTGCCATTCGATAGATACAGGACTTCAAAGCCCTCTTGTCCATAAACATCTGGATCTACTCCCAATGCTTCCCTATATTTCTGACTACCATCGATAGGTGAATATCAATTACCATTACCAATCAATAACCACAGTAGCTTTTAGCCAGGCAATCTCAATCCTCACCAACAATGAGGCCCTGTTAGGGGTAAATGCCAACAAGCAATATGGCCTCAATTATTGTGAAAAGGCGACACAAGTCCTACGAACTTGTGGCGAACAAATGGCTGCTCTAATGAACAGACAGCGATAAAATAATAGCTTAAAATTGTGAGGACATTGAATTTGTTTGGATATGCAGACAAGGGGTATGGTTATACCCCCAAACAGGACCTCATTTGAAATGGTWGTAATATTATAATTCTTTATTGGTTTTCCTACTTGGGATATGTCAGTGAATATTTTTGTATCTTACAGTATGTGAATTATCATGACAGCTGTAGACAGTTTTTAGTATATTAAAGTGTAATCTCCATTACAATATCGATAAGAAGCTACCAAATCCCTTCAACTAAAAACAAACAAATAAAAAAATCCCTGGTTTGTAAAAACATCATTTTCATAATAGCTTGTTGGGAATATTTATGCATTTTTTAAAGAAATATTAACTCTCGAATAGGGAAAAATATCAGGAGCAATTCAAAGCAAGAAATAAATAAAGTTTTCTAAGAAGAAATTTGAAAGAAAARATTTCAAAGCAGAAAGGCGCGAAGACTCGACGGCGACAAAACAACTGCAAAAAATACTTATCAGACAAAGAAATATAATAGACAATACAAGGTCAAAGCTAGGTTTTCACACCATTCAACAACATCATAAGAMGAAATATCTTTTGCGGTATTGCACCCTCGCGAGACGACAACTTTATGAGGCATTCCTGCTTCACCGCGGTGTTAACAACCTCTACCGGACGTCGAGAGTTTTTATTGCAAAGTCAACTGATTTGAACATTCACGCTAACTTTCTGACCTGTTTTTCCTTTATAGATTCACCAGGRCCAATGGCTTGAAGCCTTGAAGCTTTCTTTTGCTCCCTTTCGGCAGTAGATGGYTTTTGCTGCTTCCGAGATCGGTGCCTTCCAGCTCTGGTCTGCGATGTAGTATTTTGCTCTCCAGTTTGGGCATCCATGTTGATAAAATTCTGTTTTTCGTAGATATAAAAAGCTCTAAAATTCAATTGAGTTTCTTCATTGTATAGATAAAAATTCGTGTTTTCGTATGGATTTTTCTCGTTCTGCTTGAGCTGTCTCTTTCGTTAATTGTTAAGAAAATATGTTCAAATCGACAGCCATTTTGAGGTCCTTTGGGTCTAGTAATTGCTATGGTAGCAAGCTTTGACCTTATCAACAAAATAAATCATGCATGGTGGTTCTCATTGGCTAAAAAGAACAATAGGAACAATAGAAAATCATCTTTGTTAGTCATAACCGAGCGAAAAGTGACTGATAATGATTTAGTAGGAAAAAAAGAAAAAAACAATGCTAAACTATAACAGGAAATATTAACACAAAACTACACAATGAATGTTTTGAAGTGAAAACGATGCCTAGRCAGCAATGACGTTTTTTCGTTAACAAAGAAAAAAGAACTTTTTCACAGCTTCARCTTTGCGGTTGATTTCTTCTTTGCAAATAAAAAAAAACTTTTATACTGATTCATTTTTTGTGATATTCTGTCTTTCCTCTCATTTTCCTCTTTCTTTCTTTTATTTTACAATTGTCTTCTCCTTATTTTCAATCGTATATATTGATTCGTTATAACTTTCATCCTTTCCTGTCTTTTTAACGGTGAAACTTTAACTTATAAAGTAAAGAATAAAAGAAAAAGAATAGAAATTTCGAACAAATGAAAAATTGAAACATTTCCGAGCAATCTCCGAGGCAGCCGAGCCCCAGTCCCTTCCGCGTAATTGCCGAGGGTGGCTTCGGCCTCGAACGTGTGTTGTAATGTCCAAGATGGCGACGACGGTAGAAGGTTAGTTTTGAGCACATTTGCACTCTTATTGCTTTCTTTTATACCTCTCGCCWCAATATCTTCCTCAGAAATACTTCCTATGATAACTAATAAACATATCTAYATGTTCACAATCTCTTTTTAATTTGTTTAAAATGTTACATTTTTGTTTTTAGTACCACGAAATTTTCGMCTTCTCGAAGAACTAGAATCTGGACAAAAAGGTGGCGACGGCAATACAAGTTGGGGCCTTGAAGATGAYGAAGATCTAACCCTTACTAGGTGGACTGGGATGATTCTTGGGACGCCAAGAGTGAGTTTGACCGATTAAACTGCTTCAAAATTGTACWAGCTTACCCTGGAAGGAACTTCTWGGTCATGTCATGGCATTGAGTTGACTCAAAGCGAACAATATTTGACCATATTAATCTCTCGCCTTACAACTACCAATGTTTATTTTCTTTGAATTGATTTTAATAAGAAAAATTGATTATTAATTTGTATTAATCTTTGAAAACATCCCAAACAATATTACTTTAAATTGGATTTAATTGTAATTTTATTTTTGTACTTTTCTTCCTTCACAGACTCCTTATGAAAATAGGATATACAATTTAAAAGTTGAATGCGGACCAAACTACCCAAAATGCCCACCAAATGTGAGGTTTACAACCAAGATCACCATGACCGGCGTTGGCCCTAGGGGAGAGGTGTGCATATTCATAAATAAAATGTACAACTTTATTTCCTTTGGGGGGTAGGGAGGGGAAGCCCTTTAGGTGTCAAGATTTGATTAAATTTCCATGCAGTTTTGCCTATTAAAAGCAATAACAGCTGTTATATTAGACTACAACATCTGAAAATCTGACCAAGAACAAGAAAGAACACAAAAAATATCAGATGAATTACTGTCGGACAAATTTCGCTTAACCTCCCTATATGGATAATACTATAATACTTTGTTATATAGTATATCAAAACAAAACAAGAATTAAAAATTCCTTCATTGTAATTCCCTGTAGATTGGATTGACAATTAGAAAGCTCGAAATAAAGTAAATGTGAAAGCATAATAAAAATTTCACTTTTTGTTAACCTGATACTAACCTTAGATGTCTATTGGGCTTATGCCATACTGAATAATGAACTTTTATTTCAGATTGATCATAAAAAATTCACTATATTAAGTAAAAGTCATTGGGTCCCAAGCAACACAATACAAGATGTGCTTCAATCTATTAGAAAGTAAGTTTGTTTCCTACAAAATAATTCTTCCCAAATAA